ACATATTAATTAGACCACCTATTTCTCAAGATTTCTCATTTGTTTGTCTTGACCTTAAAAATCTTGCATCCTGAGGTGTGTGTATGTCACTGCTACGTGTCTATAAACAATTTAAAAGTAGGTATAATGTTCACACAGAGGTGAGCATCCTACAGTATTTTAAGAAGGAGAAGGAGAGAAAACGGAGGTCGCATGGATAGTACTAGACACTGTATAGTATATTCTAAAATTCCCATAGTAAAAGACTGTGTTGGGCCAATGGCATTTCATCAGAGTTTGCACTGAAGCCAGTTCTGTGATAACAAACATTTGTTGCTTTCCTAGATGTGAGATGAAGTGACCACAGAACGGGGATATTGAGAGCCAGGTGAGACACAGGGAATATCAGACAGCTCACAAGTGTAACGTTAGGATAACTGAAACACATTTGTGCTGTGGCTAGCTACATTAACTAGCTGCTGTTCCATGGCTTTATGGTATGTGTAGTCGGTTTTGTTGTAGTTGTACTGTACTTCGTCTCTCTGACTGTGCACCCCCCCCCCCAGGTTCATAGTCGCACCTACGCCCCTGAATGAGTTCGCTAGCTCTGTCATTAACTAAACACATATAACACGTGAGGGGCTGTCTTTTACTGCATCTCCATTAAAAGCCTGAGATGGTTGTTTGCCCTTGTTCAAGCAGTCCATGTTCCTGCTGAGAAACCTAGCTGATAAGAGTGAGTTGAAGTCTGTGTGAAGTGTTTTCTTCTGTCATGGGGTCTCTTTAGATACCTTAAACTTAACGGGACTTGGCGGGGTTTTAGTTTAGTAAGACTGTTTCCAAAGAGATTTTTCTCTTGGAAGATTTGCATTATGCAATTTATTAACATACGGTGTTCAGCATTGTAATGTTGTTCCATCCCTGCAACAGGACATTTAATTTGTTATATGCAATGGTAAGATGTATGTCTTTAACATAATGTTTTTCATTGTACCCCCAGTCTCCCAGGAGGTCAGCATGTCTGAAGCAGAGGCCTCCACCCAGCCATCACACGCTGAAGGTCAGGTGTTTGTGAAGCAGGACACATCAGGACCAGGATTACCAGAGCTTCAGGAACACTGGCCCGGCCAGCATGAAAGGAAACCGCAGGACCTGTTAGGTGACGCTGCTACTTGTTTAAAGTGTGAGAGCACTCTGTCATCTTGTTGCTGCCAGACCCAAACTGTAGCCAGTGGAGATCTTCTTCCTGGAACTTCAACTGAGTGGGTGCAAACAGAAGAGGAAACAGATGGTTGTGGAGGGTCAGATTTCCAGCAGCCCCTCTCTTCAGATTGTGGGGACGGAAATAATACTAGTGATGCTGAATGGACGGAGAGTGGAGGATCTAACTCCAGTTCAAACACAGTGAAGTCAAAGAGAAGGGCAAAGCGAAGACAAAACCGCCCCATCTTGAACATTAAGCAAATGACAAATCTAAGACCTTTTTGTTGTGCAATGTGTGGAGAATCTTTCCACTACAGGAGTTTATTAATGAAGCATGTTAAATCACATGCAAACAATGCAACTGGTCTCTGTCCCACAAACCAAGCATCTACAGAAAGTGGGATCGAACCCGACGAAAGACACAGGGAGGACAATCTGTGTTATGTCTGTGGCAAAACATTTACCACAAGGTCCCATTTAAAAAGGCACTTGCTGGTTCACACAGGTCAGAAACCACACTGTTGTAAAGAATGTGGCAAAAGATTTGCACGAGGTGAATGTCTGAGAATACACATGAGGATCCACACGGTGGACAAGCCATACACATGTGAAGTCTGTGGGAAAGGATTCAAGCAGAGGGGCAACATGATGTGTCACATAAGAACCCACACAGGAGAGAAACCCCATCACTGTGGCATCTGCTCCAGACCGTTTGCATATAAAAAGGACATGATGAGACACATGCAAGTCCACGCAAAGACGACGTGAAATCCCATTGTGAGGTTTCATTCACATAAAAAAAAAAAAACAGCTGTCAGTGATGTACTGTTGGGTCGATCTTGTATTATTTTTCTTCAAATAACTGACCCTATGTAGACAGTGTGACGTCACACCTGGATATTTGCGATTGACATGAGATTTTGTCTGTAGGAAATGTTGCACTGATCTAAGACATTGAAGTAGAATTTTGGTAAACAAAAACAGCATTTGTACAACAGTGGATGTTTTTTTTTAGGATTGTGTCAAACATGACGTCCGGGCCAGTCCTAGTTTTTGGGATTTAGGGTTGAGCCGTGCATGCAAATGAGGAGGCGTGGCCCAAAGGCTGCAGGGAGGGTTTGGAAGGGCTGAGGCACAGAGGCACTTTATGGACTGCAGGGGGAGCTCTGACTGCTAGTGTTGTGTCGTTCAATGAACGTTTCATTCATAAGACCTAATCGCGTGTATGACGACTCGGGAGGAACGGGTTGTCTCAGTGACTAATTCGTTCATTTTCACGCATGCGTGAAGGATCTTGGACACTTACGTTCACTCGTCACACGGCAGCTGCCTGGGCTTCGTCAGCACAGGAAATAGAATTGATTAGTTCACGACTCTCAACTGTGGGTCTGTTTGAGTCGTTCATTTGTCTCGTGACAGCTCGGCTACAGGGCTGTGGTAAGCAGGCAGCACAGGAAACAGAACTGATTAGTTCACGACTCATAGCAACTGTGGGTCTCTAGGTATGAGTCATTCATTTGTCACGTGACAGCTCCTACTGTGGAGCAGGAATGAACGACTCGTTCACAACTCACATGGGTCCTCCTCAGTCTTTCGTTCATTCGGCAGGCCGAGTGACTGCCAGCGCCGGAGAATGAGAGGCAGGTTGTTCTGGGTCCACTCCACTTCAGAGCCCTGACGGGGTTCTATCTGGAGCCGAATTACCTCTGAGGTTGTCTCCTCTCCAAAACAAACAGACCCGGTCATTAAAACATTAAAACACAGCCACGTAGCAACATTAGCATTAGCCCTGTAAACAGCTAAAAGCTGATCCAGGTCCGCCAGAGAACGCAACGTAACTTTTCCTTTTTATTTACCAACCTGGCCGTGTATGAGAGCGATGTGCTCATGTGTGTTTCTCTGTCTGCAGAATCAGGACCTGATGTGGCCCATTCTGTGTCCAGACCTGCCAAACTGCTGCATTTATATAATGTGTTAATATTTCTCTGTTCCTCTCTCTGTGCTGGAGTTCTTTAAGAACTTGGTGGCTTGATCCAGATTATTATTAAATTGGTTGAATTTTAATAAGAGTGTGTTTCTTCATCTAGTGTATCAAGCTTATTACTTCTATATATTTACTGCAAATCTGATATTAATGTTTTACTCATGGATAGGGACGTTAGGCTACTGTATGAAAGAGCACTTCAGAGATAATGATAGTAATTATATACATAAGCCTTTATATGGCTGGTCTGGTTGTATACTCGGGAAAGATTGAAGGATTTAGCCGGAGTAGTGGTGATTACATATTGACAACATATTTCTGTGGTTTTTACATGGTTTGAATTTGGTTGTGGGCCCAGGGGGTTTATATAATGATGACATAGACCTAGTATGGTATTATTACTACATACACATATGAATGTAACGTTGAGACCTGATAGACATCCGCTAATCAGAAACAGAGGACACTACCTGCATCACTGCCGATGTCATTTGACCAGGGAGTGAATGGTGATTAATGCGATAATGTCATAAGTTTTTTCCTAGTGTTTTTAATGGGTTCTTAGGTTCATAACACAGGCACCCCCTTACACATTGTTTAGAGTGTAGCAGTGGGGTTTGTTTTTTTGTTTCTTCATGTACTCTGGCTCCTAGTCTACTTTTGGAGACTCTAGGAACCACAAGTAACCCTGCATTCTGGGAGCGCAGTGCTCTGGTGGGGTAGTAAGGTACTATGAGCTCTAAGATAAGATGGTGCCTGACCATTAAGAGCTTTGTAGGTAAGTAGAATGATTTTAAATTCTATTCTGGATTTTACTGGAAGCCAATGCAAAGAAGCTAAAACAGGAGAAATGTGATCTCTTTTCCTGGTTCCTGTCAGAACACGTGCTGCAGCATTCTGGATCAGCTGAAGAGTCTTAACAGACTTTTTCGAGCAGCCTGATAATAAGGAATTGCAGTAATCCAGCCTAGAAGTAACAAATGCATGGACTAGTTTTTCTGCATCATTTTTAGACAGGATGTTCCTGATTTTCGCAATATTACATGGGTGAAAAAAGGTGGTCCTTGAAATTTGCTTAATGTGAGACTTAAACTACATGTCCTGATCAAAGATAAGATTCCTCACAGTGGTGCTGGAGGCCAGGGCGATGCCATCAAGGGAAACTATTTCTTTAGATAATGTGTCACAGAGGTGCTTAGGCCCCAGAACAATAACTTCAGTTTTATCTGAGTTTAACATGAGAAAATTACAGATCATCCAGGTTTTAACATCCTGAAGGCACATTTGAAATTTAGCTAACTGATGAGTTTCATGTGGCTTGATCGATAGATATAACTGAGTATCATCTGCATAACAATGAAAGTTTATGGAATATTTCCTGATAATATTGCCTAAAGGAAGCATATATAAAGTGAAGAGGATTGGTCCGAGGACAGATCCTTGAGGAACTCCATGACTAACTTTGGCATGCATGGAGGACTCATCCTTAACATGTACAAACTGAAATCAATCTGATAAATAGGACTTAAACCAGCTTAGAGTTTTTCCTTTAATGCCAATGGAATGTTCCAGTCTCTGCAATAGGATCTGATGGTCAATGGTATCAAATGCAGCACTAAGATCTAATAAAACCAGTACAGAGACAAGTCCTTTGTCTGATGCAATTAGGAGGTTATTAGTAATTTTCACCAGTGCTGTCTCTGTGCTATGATGAACTCTAAACCCACCTATACTTCATCTATCAAATTCAATCTTGAGGACTACATTAATCAACGTATTGGTCAAATTATGTACAAAACTGAAATACTGTATGAATATATGGCTGTGTCAGCTGAAATGATGATAATTATAATATAAACAGAGGTTTACCACATGTATGGTTGATTATACTGTAACCATATTTGCTCTGTATCCTATGACTTGTGATGTGCTGCTGACTAGTGTTTACTGTATGTCAGATTTGTTGTCGCTGTTGCAGGGGAACTTGAGGGGGTGGCAGGTGACGATTCCAAATATAGAAATAATGCAGTAAAGCTCTCAGGCACTCTGTGTTGCTTTTAGATAGGCTATCTTTTCTCCTGTACTTTAACTTTTACAAGGTTGTTTGTCATTATACAACACAATGTTGCTGTATAATGAAACAAAAGTTTGCGGTCCCTTGATGCTTCACACCGAACTTAACAAATAAATATATTAACATTTGAATACACATTAAATGTGCATTTAAAAATTTTCATTTTTGTCTTTTTGGGGATATAATCTTTTTAAATATGACTGTGGCACCTTTACTCACCTCAATGATATTAAATAATTTTAATTCAGTTAGAAACTCCTGCACTTTAGTGTGTTTCAGAAGGTTTCTGCTCCTGTTCAAAACTTTCTGCACATTCAGAATCTCTCCCATATAGGCTATCTGTATTCTCTGACAGGTCCAGAAAAAAAGTCGCAATATTACAAGAATATCGTCATAATTTAACATTTTAACAGTCTACCTGCCCTATACTCTGCTGTGCATAAGCCTGCGATGTTGCTTTGCTGATTTGGCCCCTGCAGACCGTCTGCTGACACAGAACTTTCTGGGACAGTGCTATTGGATGAGAGGAGGAGGTGGATAAACGAAACTTCTTGAAACACTTTTGATCAAACCAGGATGCGAATTATACAGTGACAATAACTTTTTTTCCAGATCCAAAAGAAAACCCAGTACAGCACAGGAACTAAAATCTTACAACGCTTACAATATCCTTGCTTGTTTTACTAATGTCATCAGTCTGTGGATGATGATAAATCAAATTCATTACACCAGTTGATGGTACCATACATACAACAGCTTTTTTAGTATTCTAGAGCAAAACTGCCAGCAAGTCAGACACACAACAGCAGACCATCATGACCGCTGAAAACATAGTGTTGATACAAAACTAAAGACACATAAAATACAGTCTGCATTCAAACTACTGACATTAACCTGGGGGGGTCCAAGCCTTAACTAGGGGTCAGACCCCCCCATTCCCCCCTGTAATTCAAACCATGGATCAGACAGAAATCTCACCACAAATGTTCACTTCAGCACCTCAGATAAAGTGCAGCTCACAGTCCCAAACAAAGGAAGTCTGCACCTCAGATTTCAGATGTTATTTTGCAAAAAAAAAGTTATTTACCACGACTCAGTGCGAGATCGCATCGCATCAGCTGGGTGGAGTTACTCGCCCCGACTCGTTATTAACAGTTGAGAAAATCGATGTGTTGCGTGAGAACGTATGAAAATGTATGTATGAAAAATAATAAAATAAATTAAAATTCCATATTAACGCAACTTATAAAAATGCAGAGCATTAGCAGTCTCATACAGGGGCTTTGTGCCACATTCTGATGTCATCAGAATGTGGCACAAACCCCCTTTTACCATGTCACAACATCAACGCGATGGTCAGCGTCAAAGCTACTCGGAACTTGGACATATCAGACTTCCAACTTAAAAATGTACAATGGAACCATGGAAGTTCCGAGGTGTTGGAATGCAACATTACGCTGACCCCGGCGACCCCATAACACCACTGCGCGTGGTTACGAGAGTGTAGCAGTTTTTGAAAAGAAAGGCTCCAGAATCAGATAACTTTGAATCTGAGCCATCAACTTCATCATCAGCAATGGTTGTAGAGGCCAGCGGCAAGACCAAGAAAAGACAGTACGATGACAGCTACTTGTCGTAAGGTTTCATCTTTACTGGAGATTCATCATGCCCTTTACGCCTGGTATGTGGTATGAAATTGTCAAACCAAGCAATGGTTCTGAGCAAACTGAAAAGACACCTGACAACAAATCATCCATCACTAGTAAGCAAGGATGCAGAGTATTTTGCTCATTTGAAAAGTCAACACAAATGACAAGAGCAAGTGATGATAAAGTGTGCAAAAGTGTCAGAGAAAGCACTGGAGGCTAGCTATTTAGTGGCCGAGACAGTAGCTAAGGCAAAGAATCCACACACGATTGCAGAGACAGCTATGTTGCCAACATGCACAGCAATTGTCAACAAAATGCTATGCACACAAACAGCAAAAGGTTCCGCTGTCGGACTCTACAATTGGAAGGCGAATCAATGACATGTCTTTAGATATTGAAAACCTGGTCTAGCGCAAAATTTTCCTTACAAGTTGACGAATCAGTAGACGTCAGTGGGCATGCTCAACTCTTGGCAAATGTTCGATTTGTGGAATGGGACCATATCAGGGAGAATTTTTTATTTTGCAAACCGACAGAACAGAACAACTGGAGAGGAGATTTATCGTGTGACAACTGTGTATCTTGAACAGGGAGGATTAAGTTGGAAGAAGTGTGTAAGTGTCTGCACAGACGGGGCCGCTGCCATGATGGGTAGTGCAAAGGGTTTCATCAATAGGGTCAGAGCGCAAAACGTTAACGTGCGATGCACTCACTGCTTCCTTCACAGGGAGGCACTTGTTGCAAAGACTTTGCCGAAAGAACTTTCAGATGTACTGGATAGCGCAGAGGACATTGTTAATTTCATTAAAGCGCGACCTGAGCTGCCTGTTTTCGATTCTATACAAGGAAATGGGAGCAGAACATTGCTTGTTGCTACACACGGCCGTCCGCTGGCTTTCACGGGGGAAGGTTTTAGGCAGACTGTACGAGTTAAAAGAAGAACACAGAACGTTCCTGATGGAAGACAATTCTGCATATGCGGAGTTGATTGCATGACATTTTAGGCATCTAAATGAACTGAATGCTAAAATGCAAGGCGAAGATGCATGGCTTCAGATCTAAGCTCACACTCTGGCGCTGCTTTGTAGAAGAGGGCAGGCTTGAGATGTTTCCCTTGTGCAGAGAACATTCAAACAGCTGCACGCTTTCTGGCCTTATCTCTCAGCATCTGAAATTCTCGACGAGTCTTTCGCACAGTTTGACTGGGTCCTTGACCCTTGGAGTTCATGTGCACTGGAAAGCTCAAAAAAGACATGCCACTGCTGGTGCAGGAGCAACTGGCAGAGATCAGGGAAGATCGCACATTAAAAATACAATTTCAAGACACGGCTTTGGAAAGGTTTTGGATATCGCTGGAGAAGGGGTACCCAATAGTTTCAAGTAGCGCAATTGCAATCCTGCTACCCTTCTCTACGACGTATTTGTGCGAACTCAGCTTTTCAAGCCTACCTTACATCAAGAACAAGTAGGAGCTTCTGACATGGAGCTTCTGAGGACTGTGGACCAGAAGCTCCGTGTCTGCCTCTCATCCATCCCTGCCAGAATTGGGGCGGTTGTGTGCATCGTCTCAGGCTCAGATTTCCCATTAATAGTAAGTAAGTCACATATATAACCACTTACAGCGTGCGTGTGTGTGTGTGCTGGCCGTCAGAGGGTTGCAGATGGTACATTTAATACATTTCAGACTGGGGTGACTTGAGATTTTGCACAAACTTTTAAAGGGTGCCTTGACTGAAAAAAGGTTGAGAAACGCTAGCATAACTGTTTGGGGTCAGGCCAACCAAAAAACAATTACACCCATTAGGTCATTATATAAACAGACACTAAAAGTAATGGACCTGAAATCTGTAAGATGGCACCACTGCCTCACTCTACGGAAGCATAATATATTGAGTTTAGTACATTTTTCATTTCTTAAACTAATTTTTAAATTTGTGAACAACCTTGCACCAGAAATATTCTGTCAACTGGTAGAGAAACAAAAGAGCGGAATAAGAATAGGCACAGTAAGTGGAAACTGTATATTTGCTCAGACATCGTTTTCAGTAAGAGGCATACATCTGTGGAACGCCTATATGTGACCAGGTTGTAACCTCCCCTAAAAATTGAGGCATTCACCAACTTTCTCGAGTTGCTTATAACAGCCTGTTTAGGCCTACTGTTCTCTATGTGAAGGACTGGTTGGATTTCCTGCAAAAATCCATTGGCTACGACGTTATGCACAACATTACTGTAAAACATATGAAACACAGTGTGATTTGTATTTTAGTTGGTTCAACCTAGATAATGTTAGCTTGCCAGCAAACGCCAACCAGTCGATAACTACCTGACATAATTCTAACCTATTTTCAGGCAAAAATATGTAAAGGCTATTGATAATATAATAGTAAACTGTTAGTTTGATATTATGTTAATTATATGATGAGATGATTACTATATTCATTATTTCATATAATGAATAAACAGTATTTAGCTTACCACTCATAATATTAATTCCAGTTACAGCTGTCTCAGTTTGGGGTTGTTTTTTATTCATTCTTGCACTTTGTGCAAGGAAAATGTTCTACATGGTAGTCCCTAACTTTAATTTTAAGTAGGCAACTAACTCGTCAATAATCATAACCATTTATGCAGAACAATGAGGTCAGCATGATTAATCTGTTCACAAAAAGTGACATTGAGGAGCGCATCAGCTTTATGAAAAGTTGAACGTGTTTCATTAAAAAGCACCGGTTTAGCTAAATAGCCAGCTAACGTTAGACAAACCCAAACGCTGCTTATATTTTCACTGTTGTCTTCTGTCTTACCCATTCAGCTGCTGGCGGAGCATCTCGCTCTTGTTTTTGATTAACGGGGCTGTTCAAGCGGCCACAGAGCTCAGACCGACTATGTTTTTAACGATTAGCATCGGGGGTCCGGCCTGGTGGAAGATTACAGTCGGTTGTACTCGTAAATCAGTTTTCTGGTTCGCACGGATCTATTTTTAGGGGCTGTATGAGAGTGAAAGGCTCGCACAGTAGATCCCTGTGCCTAACGTTAGACAGAAGAATCACTCGCTACGTCCTTATGACCTGCCTATTTAGTAATTTTGGCTATGCAATATAAATAAATACATTAATCCACACTTTACAAACTCTTTGGACAAACAGGATGTTCACATTGACAAAAATATCTACAAAATGTAATACCTTGTTAAATGGCGATTAAGACTTTTTAATACATTTTAATGGCCTTAATTTTCACATTATTGATATTACCTTTTAAGACTTTTTAAGAACCCGCGGACACCCTGTTATCTGTTGGTAGGGTGGAAAAGCTCTCTGCATCAGAAATAATTGCAAACCTGGCTCTCCAGATTGACCTCCATGCCATCAGCAGATTTAACATCTGCCGGTCTGACATGTGGGATGGAGCTGTCAGAGGATTCAAAAGCGGAACATTCTCCGTAATGAAGGATCTATGTTTTCAGATGATGCAGGCAGGTTTGAGGAAGGTATCGCTACAGGTGGACCAAAACGGAAATTCCTCTCACTTCTGATGAGAAGCCTGAACGAACGATCCATATTTGATCCATGTCTACAATTCAAGTGGTACTATTTTGTGTGGAATGTTTTAAGATAACTAAATTATTCAACCATGCATTGCTTGTTTAATATTGAAACTGATTGACCACTCTATTACTCTGCATTTCCATGAGCAGCAATCAGAGAGGATGAACATAGTTTGGCAGGGAAGATGATTGCTGTGTCCATAGTACATGGTGGACCTGGCCATCCTCTCAGAAGATCTGGTCAGCCACATTTCAGGGCAGTGATACATAAACTCTGGTTTGCGAGATGGGCACTGGGATTGGCGAACAGGACGAATAGTGTGCGTGTTCCAGAGTTGCTTGTATTCGTCCAGTTCATTCTGAAGGACACCCATGAAGCAGTGTTGCACCAAACTTGTGTGATCTCTGCTACCATTGAAGAGGTGCCTTTCCCTCAAGTCACTGAACAAATCCATCCAAAACTGACTCCTAGTTAAAGTACACACGTTTTATGATGTTGTACCTTGACCCTAAGAAAACACTCTGAAATGGTTGAAGTTGCTTTTAAAGCTGTACTGCAATTTAAAATGGTTTAAGAAACTGTGTTATGTGTGAGCAATTTTATAGTGAGCACAAGTAGTCTCATGCCGACACTAAATATTTACAGCAGATAAAGTACCATGTAAAAGTGAGTATAGATCAGTATAATCACATACAATAAATACAGAAATGTCAAGTAGACGGAGCATAAATCCATAATAACTCAAGAATTAACAATGTGTGACAAAAACCTTTGTTTCCGAAAGTAGGAGCACTAGCTTTCAATGCGTTGGTTGGATGTTGATGTGCCATACACGTGGCTTTTGGCTCCTGCAAATTTGTCCACATGCAATGATCTCAAGGAACAGTGAAGTGCTGCCATCAGTCCATTTTGTGTGCCGCAGTCGGACTCAGATTCCATTGGGTCCCACTGAGTGGTATGCTCTGCAGACAAGTCTTTGTCTAGAGTGATTTTCTACTCCAGACGGATCCAATTCTCCCATTAGGTGCATCACCTCTTCAGACAATAAGAGAGTACTTCTGTTTCAGAGTCTGACACATTGCTGGCCTGATCCCTTCAGTTCGTCAAAAATAGCTGCCCGCACAGTAGCGATTGGAGTGTAGTTCGTCCTCCTGGTCAGGCCGACATCTTGTATTCTTCTTTTTCAAGTGCTAAGACTCAGTGAAATATTGTGTTTTGTTGGAAGGAAGTCTATTATAACTGTGGCCCTCTGTGAAATACTTAAAGATAAGTTCATCCACCGTTGGGGTTTCAGGATCTGAGGGGAAGGAATGAGACACTAGATCTAAGAATAAAAAAATGCTTGTGTTCATAAACTTTGCTTTCTTCTATATTTACTGAATGGTGAATAAACAGTACAAAGCCAGTAATTTATATGGAATGACAAACTTTCAGAACAAAACATACCTTCATCTTGATGACTCTTTAAAAACTGAATATTTCTGCCACAAGACACATTATGACAGAAAGGTTCCCTCCACAAAATGGACAAAACATAACCTGGTAAAACACAAGGGGGAAGCATCTTCCAATTCGGCAGTTAAGGGAAAGTTAACTTGTATTTCTGAGTGACCAATTCTCCATTTTTTGCACTGTACTGTCGCTCAGCAATGTAAGTTATCTAAAATCGTTTAAGTCGTCTTCATGGTAACCACAGACTCCATGCATGTTTTTATACAATTCGAGTCCATCTCTGTCGTTTTAGTAAAGCCTAACCTGCACAAAAAGCAGTTTAAATCACACAATTATCCCGCTGTATAACTTCTGTTTATAAATTGTAATTGATCGGCCCACAGTCTGTCTGCAACAGCTGAATCTCCTAACTCGCTACAGTGGCCTGTCAGGGGAGTTTACTCCTATTGGACGTGAAAAAGCAGTGTTTCCCTCTTCACAGGGTTAACAAACTCACAATACAAACTTACACACGGGGGCTCCAACCCGGAGCCCACAGCATTGATATGGTTTTAGCAGTGGAGAGTCATAGACAGGGCATTAAACATCAAGCGGCACAAACAGCGAAACTTACCGGCACGAGTCCACCCGCTGCTGGGTCGTGCTAGCCTGTTGTAGTACACTATCTGTTTCAAGGGTTAATGGTTAGGGTACAAATACTGTTTGGTTCAATTTAGGCAAACTGGTTTGTTTGTCCAGGAAGGTTTAGTTAGTTTGTTTGGTGCTGAGAAGCGGATTTTGTTACCAGAGTATCTGCCTGACTGAATGTTCCTCCTTCATAGTAGCAGTGGTTCCTCCTTCAGTGATCAGGAGATCACATACAGTGATTATAGAGCGATTTATGTTGTGATATATAGGCTCATTTTGATGTTTGATGTGTGTTTGGTATGGATAAAAATGGTTTGAGATTGGATGTTTTAAAGACTGTCTGCTAGCGAAGACTATGCTCACAAAATTTAGGATGGCAGTGCGAAATCTGTTTTGATCACGTAGCTGTAGTTCTTGTATTAATCACTGCAAACCAGAGAACAAGACAGCACCAGAGTTGTTTACATTCCACCCAGTGCTAATGCTGGTGTAGCTGTGGACATCTTGCTAGTGTGAATAAACTCCAGTCCACCCACCCGGATGGGATCTTTATTATGGCAGGGGACTTTAATCACGCTAATCTGCGTACTGTCCTTCCCAAATTTCATCAGCATGTAACATATCCAACCAGAAGTGATAAAACTCTGGACCATGTTTACAGTAACATCAGAGGGGCATACAAGGTCTCCGTTCACCCCCATTTAGGGCAGTCTGACCATTTGACCCTCTTTCTCACACCAGCGTAGAGACCTGTGTTTAAGAGATCTGTGCACACGGTGAAATTAACAAAACTGTGGCCTGCTACTGGGACTTCAAAACTGCAAGACTATTTTGAGCGCACTGATTGGGCACTTTTCTCACAGTAGAGTCTTGAGGATTACACCTGCACTATTTTGCACTACATTAAGACCTGCTTTGATAATGTCATTGTTGAGAGACAGGTCAAATGCTATCAAAACAACAAACCATGGATGAACAGGGACGTCAAGCTGCTGCTGAAAAAACGTGATCAAGTCTTCAGGTCCGGGGACATGGAATTATACAGCACCGCCAGATCCAAAAGACAGGCATCAAGGAAGCAAAAGCGGCCTACAGGAGGAAGATCAAGGGGCACTTTAACGAGGGAGATCCCCGGCGCGTTTGGCAGGGAATCCAATACCTCACAAACTTTAAGGGTTCAAAAGACCCAAGCCCAAGTACCAGCAGCAATTTGCCTGAGGAGCTCAACTATTTCTTTGCGCGCTTTGAGGCAAATGGGACCAGGACTGAGTCAACATTGGCCACACCATTAACACTCTTGCCCACAGATGCCCTGACATTCTCTTTGAGGACAGGGGAGGTCAGGAGGGCACTTCTTGGCGTAAACACCAGAAAGGCTGCCGGGCCCGACAGGATCCCTGGGAGAGTGTTGAGGGACTGTGCCGACCAGCTGGCTGAGGTATTCACTTCCATCTTCAACCTCTCTCTGTCTACCTTTTCCATCCCCAAGTGCCTCAAATCTGCCATTATTGTGCCGATTCTGAAAAAATCTGCTGTGAGTAGCTTTAATGACTATAGACCAGTGGCCCTCACTTCCACTGTCTTGAAGTGCTTTGAAACACTGCTGTTAAATCACATAAAAGCTGCCCTCCCCTCCACACTGCACCAGCACCAGTTTGCCTATAAAGCAAACAGGTAAACCGCGGATGCTATCAACACAGCCCTGCACTGTGTGCTGACCCACCTTGAACATCCTGGCACCTATACAAGACTGTTGTTTGTGCATCATCCCTGGAAGACTGGTGTCCAAGGTACACGGACTGGGCATCAACACAAACATCTGCAGGTGGATCTTTGACTTCCTCACAGATTGTCCCCAGTCAGTTCGTCTGGGCTCCCAACTTTCCTCTGTTCTCACACTCAGCACTGGGGTCCCACAGGGTTGTGTGTTGAGTCCCTTACTCTACATTTTATACACTTACGACTGCACCCCAGCTTATGAAAGCAATACTTTTATTAAGTTTGCAGACGACACCACTGTGGTTGGACTTATTCACAACAACAAAGAGTCCGCCTACAGGGATGAAATCCAAAAACTCTCCACTTGGTGCTCCACCAACAACCTGTCTCTCAACACCTCTAAGACCAAAGAGGTGGTGGTAGACTTCCACAGGAAGAGGACTGACCTTGGCCCAGAGAGGGCTGAGGACTTCAAATCTCACAGGACATCACCTGTGAGTGGCAGTTGCAGTGTGACAGACTTAGTTTTTTCTCAATTGCTAAAACACAATTTCTGAAACCTTGCTCCATTTTCTGAAAACATTAAACACAAAACCTCAGCTTCTAGCACTATTTACAAAATAACCTCTAACAACCTCTGTCTCCTCGTGCAAAAGGAAACTTTCGCCTCAAAACAGTTTTACCTGTGCTCAAAACCAAACACTGCTCTCAAATCATAAAGCAATCAAAATGACACACTATCAAGCAGTCAGTAAACAATACACCAAAAAAATAGAAAACACGTTCAAAACATAGTTCTCAGGAAGACAAATTCATTTTTCCCTCATTGTCAAATGAAAACATGTTCTTTCATAGTAGCTCAAAATTTATCAGAAATTATACTCTGCTTTGTTCTTTGCAATTTCTTTTGTACCCCTATTTTTACAGTACTGTACCCTGCATCTCACAAACTTGTCCTTTGTTTCTGTGATACTGTAATTCTTGTAACAGTACTGTAAACAAATGGAAAGCACAATGTTCAGGGCCACTCGTCCCCGTCCCCTCACATTGTTTCTCCAAGCCATTCTTAGACTTTCTCTGTCCTACCTTCAACAACCTGTTTGCTCTCTGAACTGGCTTATATTGGTTGTGTCACATGATTTGAAACAAGTGAAATCAATTTTGAGTGGTTGTGTTTAATCAATGACACGTGTTCTCCATTTGCATTTGATTGTTGCCACTTGTGTTTACCAGTATGGATGACATGTGCATTAGAGTGCAGAATGAGAATGTTTAGAGTTCTGCTGAAAAGTCTAAGTGAGATCTGCAAATTGTGTTTTACCATGTGAAATGGTTTAAGGTATTGACAACAGACTGCAAAATTAGCTAAATGAGTTCAGGCAACTGCAAACTTTGTTCAGCCAATGGGTTTTAGTGTTTTAGCAATTGAGGAAAAACTGTAATATGGCTCATCCACAACATTTTTCTGACCAAAAGCTTTGCTTGTTGCTAAAGTAAGTCAGCTGCCAAACAGGTATCAGAACAGGGATCAGCTGCCTCTATAGACATCATGGCAGAATGAAGGAAAGGCAAGTCATTAACCTGATGAGAAAGGCTCTCACAGATGAGCTGGATGGCTTGAAAAATTGGAGAGTGATATTAGCACATTTGAGAAATCAGCAGATGAATTTGCTGAGAAAGCAGAACTTACTAGCAAACTGACCTTCATCACCAAATCCAACAGTTTCAGAACTGCAAAAGAGAAGAAGGCATCTCTGCTAGAAACACTAAAAAGCTGATGGCAAATGAGTGTTCAGTTAAGATCTCATGGACAGTCAGACACAAGAGGAAGCCACTTATTTATTTGATTGCAACCTTGTCAGGTTCCCACCAGCTATTTTCTGTGCACATGTGAGAATGTGTGAGTGAGTTGGACAGTCACACAAAAAGAAAGTACTTGTTATGCAAATGTTGTTGTTGTTGTTTATTTATCTACACTAATAAACGTGTTGAAAATTTAACTTGTTTATGTTGGTTTACATTCAATGAGTTAGTGGCCAACTGTCAATGTTTAGGAAAAATTTGCACTACAAAATGGAAAGCAGTGTGTGCACGAGCTAGACGCTGCTGCCTACTAAAGGTCCTACTGATATGTAATGGTATACCTATCAACCAAAGTACATTTATATAATATTTACTCTTTTAATCAAAGTATATTGTCTCTGTCATTCATTCATGTTATTCAGGGTATACTGTGTGCTTCGGAATTCTTAATGCCACATCGTATCCTCACTTTTACATGTATACACTGCACAGAGACATCACAGAATGTTTGATAATGAAAATTTGGTTGAAAGTCATGGAAAAATCATGAATATTCATTGGTCAAAATGTGTATGATCTATGTCAGCAACAAATCTGCAATGAGTACTTAGCAATCTAAAGAATCTTACCTCTGAACAATCAGCTTTGGTCCTAATCTGCACTAAATTGTGAGTATAAAACACCATCTAATCATTAACATAAATAGCCAAGACGTGAAAGTTCCCTTCCTTCTACCCTTCTGCAGAGCTACTTTAGCTGCTGTTTCCTCAGTGCTTGTGTCACGTGTGTGTGTGTGTGTGTGTGTGTGTGTGTGTGTGTGTATATATCTTAGTTTAACCGGTTGGTGCTGTTGTTATCATTCATAGTAATGATCCACCCAGCGTACAGTAACCTGACTATCAGACCAGCTCTGAAGACACTGTGGTTGGATAGCTGTTTTGGATTGTGTGGTTGTGTGTTCAAGGATAGAAGTTACTGTATTTCATCATTCTACTGTCTTTCCCTTTTTCATACGCAAGGGGGCGGCACTCTACCATAAATCAGATTTCCCTTGTTGGCCTATTGAAACCATAAAGGAAGCTTACTTGTGACAGCCTTAAAGGGCTAAGGTTATGAACATCACATTGATGATTTTAACATGCTTAAGGTTTAGTTTATCCTGAAGTCCTTTTGTCTTAAATAATAACAAAATAAAAAGAAGATTTAATCCTTTGAGGGTCGAAATATGCTCAGTAATCTTCACAGTAATGTGCCTATTAGATTTTCTGTGCACGTGGAAATTTTGTCATGATGATGGTGTTAAGAGGAAAGGTCTGACTGACCTGAACTGACTGACCTTTGTATTTTAGCAATAATTCTGGATGGCATAATATTGTAAATGAGTAAAGCAGCTCTTACAGATATCGTCAGATGAGCCACCTTTAAAGAGGCAGTCCAGTTTTTCACATATAGGTCATTTACTTGTCATGGAGAATTTTTGGCCCGCGAAAACAGATGTATAATAAAGAAAGTTAATTCTTGCTTTTAGAAATAGTAATCTATTTGTGTTTTCCCCGCATTATGTTATAGTTATGAGTACATATATTTAAATGTGTTTGCTGTGTATACTGCATGTTGACAGTGAGGAGGATGCTGTGTACTCTGCAGCGCAGCCAGAAGCTCCATATATCCATCATGTAAATTATATTTTTATAGTGTGTGTGTGTGTGTGTGTGTGTGTGTGTGTGTGTGTCTGTCCTGATTGGCTTAGAGCTCTCCAGTGGGGTCACTGTTGGGTATCCAGGTGTCTGAGTGTATTTCCACACCAAACTCAGGCTCCATACTGCTGGAGAGTCACTGGCTATAAATACACACTGTGCACACCAGCCTCTCCATTAGCTTTCCTGGAATAAACTGAAACACCTGCCCCCCAAACCAACAAACACTCACACACACACACACACACACACACACACACACACACACAGTCTTGTAATTAACTAGCTACAGCTTTAAAAGAAAATCTTAAGTCAACAAACATACCAGCATGTCCTCACCCGAAAAATTGTCGTATTGGTTGTTGGCTTCTGCGTTTATAACGAGTAGTATGTAGCTGCAGTACCGGAGGCTGCAGTTTCAGGGCTGCAATCCTAGGATTGGGACTACATTTCTAGGACCCTTGTTTACTTTGATACTGCCAGCTAGCTGGCTAGCTAGCTAGCTGTGTTACTCTTGACAGCCCCCCTAAGCCAATTACCCTTACCACAACCATCATCAAGTGTGTGCTTAAACCTAAGTTATTGATTATATGCATGTCGACCGGTTAACCCTAGAGCTGTGCAGACAGAGTTAACCTCTTTCGTGTTGCTGTGCATTACCACCACCAATCCACTAGATAGCAATGGAGCGTTCCCAGGATTGGGGGGGGTCCTGAAACTGCAGCCTCCGGTACTGCAGCTACATAATATTCTTTATAACAGCAGATGACAGCATTAAAAGAGAAACAGAGAGTGATGCTTCACTCATGTCTTGAGTGTTTCATCGTTTGTCCACCAGAAGGCGCTCTGCAACTCCCTTGTTAACGACACTGCCTCACCACAAAAACCACAAAAGAAAGCAATCAGTTGACCGGAGTCTATCGGAGCAGCATAGAAACAGCATAGAGAGAGGCTGTGTTACTGGTGAGTTGGTCATTTCTCATGTTAATTACAAGACTTAAATTATAATAAAAAGAACCCCCATCAATTCTGTTTAAAACATTCATGACTTGCTAACCCTCCCGTTTTTCACTTCCTTCTCCCGGCTTCCTCCCGGATCACAGCAGTATGTTTAATGTTACAGTAGTTGAGTGATGGAGGCCATACTGCTGGCAGACATGATTGTATTTCTGAAACAATTTTGTGAACAGTCCTATCATTTCTCTCTATTTCATCACTTATAAGTGTTTTCCAACATCGTTTCCAGCAGCTAACGCTGCCCGTTGCTAAATTAGCCACAAAGCTAATGCCGTGTTTATCAGTGGAGGAGCGCTAACGTCGTAATGAGCAGTTAAACTATAGAGTTTAAAATATTCTCAAATATATCTTCAAGCCATTTGTTTGTAGTTAGTCGGTGTGTCAGAAATGATTAAACCAGAGCGGACTGTAAATAAACATGAGCTGAACATGCATCTAACACGGCTTCCTGCTAGAAAAAGTTCTTTAGCTCCTCTTTCAAATATGAAACATAAGTTATAGTTGCAAGTACTTGTTGTAGACAGTCATGTAGTATTAGATGCATTCAACAGCAGGTCACTGTATCAGAGACTGATGGTGGTTGGGAAATAGTTTCTTGTAGCTTTGGATAAAATTTAAGAGTGCTGGTAAAGACATAAATTAGATGAATATGCTACATTGAAAGTAGTTATTATGGCAGGTTATGTGTAAGGTAAAATACACATGCTTATTTTCTCTCACACTCTCTGTTTACAGATGGCTGAAAAAGTTACACCTTCTAGCAGCAAATATTTATTGATCTGCAATTATTTACATGTTAAGTTGTTGAGACTGTAATCAATTTTATTGACATAATCCATTTAGGAAAAGGTATTATAGCCCACATACAAAACAGCTTTAAATATCGGCCTGTTCTAAGTGTAGGTTATACAGGAAAGGGATCTACTATCCTAATAATTTTCAAAATAAAAATATAGGCTCATATCTGCTCTTTTTCAGTTTAATATCGGCATCGGCCCCCAAAAACCCATATCGGTCGGGCTCTACTTATTTTAACCCAAACCGTGATCTTTTCCTAAATCTAACCAAGTAGTTTTGTTGCCTAAACCTAACTAAACTATGACTGTTTCACGTTAATCATGTGTTAAACATCATGCGACTTAGGTCATGTGACTTACTTAAGGTACTTACTGGTACATCTGCTGCAGAACTGGTACTTGCCTTTTCCAACGGACATACAGTAGCAGGAAAAAAGTATGTGAATCCTTTGGAATTACCTGGATTTCTGCATAAATCTGATCTTCATCTAAGTCACATACAGCTGCAGTATTCATGCTTTTATTGAACACAGCTTGTAAACATTCACAGTGCAGGGTAGAAAAAGTATGTGAACCCCTAGGCTAATGACTTCTCCAAAACCTAATTGGACTCAGGAGTCAGCCAACCTTGAGTCCAATCAATGAGACGAGATTGGAGGTGTAGGTTACAGCTTCCCTGCCCTATAAAAAACACACCAATTTTAATTTTGCTATTCTCATGAAGCATTGTGAACCATGCCTTGAACAAAAGAGCTTTCAGAAAAACTAAGATTTGTAGACTTGCATTAAGCTGGAAAGGGTTTCAAAAGTATCTCTAAAAGCCTTGATGTTCATCAGTATACAATAAAACAAATTGTCTAGAGATGGAAAGTTCAGCACTGTTGCTACCCTCCCTAGGAGTGGCTGTCCTGCAAAGATAACAGCACAAACACAGTGCAGAATTCTCAATGAGGTTAGGATGAATCCTAGACATTTTGGAGGACACCACTGACAAAACCACTGCTGTCCAAAAAAACACTGCTACACTGAAGTTTGCAAAAGAGCACCTGGATGTTCCAAAGCACTACTGGAAAAATATTCTGTGGACAAAATAATCCACATTTGAGTTGTTTGGAAGGAAACACAACCCTATGTGCCTAGGAAAACAGGCAGCACACCAATATCAAAACCTCATCCCAACTGCAAAGTATGGTGGAGGGGGAGTAATGGTTTGGGGCAGCTTCACTGCCTCAGGGCCTGGAAGAGTTGATATTGTCGACGGAAGAATGAATTCCAAAGTTTATAAAGAAATTGTGCATCTGTCTGCCAATTGAAGCTCAATAGAAGATAGGTGATGCAACAGGACAATGACCCAAAGCACAGAACGGCTTCAGCAGAAGAAAATACACCTTCTGGAGTGGCCCAGTCAGAGTCCTGACCTCAACCCGATTGTGAAGCTGTGGCATAACCTCAAGAGAGCGATTCACACCAGACATTCCAAGAATATTGCTGAACTGAAACAGACTTGTATAGAGGAATGGTCCGCAATTCCTCCTGACCGTTGTTCAGGTCTGATCTCTAGCTACAGGAAACATTTTGTTTAAGTTATTGCTGCCAAAGGAGGGTCAACCAGTTATTAAATCCAAGAGTTCACATACTTTTTGCACCCTGCACTGTGAATGTTTACACAGTGTGTTCAATAAAAACATGAAAAGATATAAGCAGACTGTGTTTGCCTATTGTTGTGACCTAGATGAAGCTCAGATCACATTTTCTGAGCAATTCTGCGTAAATCTTTTTTAAAACTTTTTTCCTGCAACTGGATATGTTGTTTTGGGACAATTGACAATACAAATTTTGTCATTCGAAATCTGCCAAAGAGGAACTTCTGTCAAATAGCAATTTCTTCTTATCATCTTCAATGTTATGTTAATTGCAGCATCTGAACAACTCTCACAGAGCTAAAATGTGAAAATCAGTGATGATGGGAACACCTACTATAGTGAGTTTACATGTATGAGTGAAAGACTGCATTATTTTGTACTATGTGTATGAATGTGTTCCAAGTGTTTATGTGTTGGCATCCTGTGACCTTCTGCCATGTTCACCTTGGCAGAGGGTGTTGGGATGACAGGGCTGGCAATCACTAGTGCTGCACTAGAGGGTATAAAAATAATATACAGCACAGTTAATAAAAATCCCAGGACGCTGCCAAGGGTTCAGACCAACAATTTACGTAATCCCATCCAGTTGGAGAGCCAAGGGGAATGGAGGCAGGATTGTGGGTGGGGGGGGGGCAAGAAGGACTTTGAAAGAGCAAAACCTGAAAGTTCAACTTTTACTCAAATGAGATGAGGCATTGACAATTTCCTTCAGTAAAACTTACATCCTTCAGTAAAACATCAAGGTTAGTTTAGCAGTCTAGAGGAGTACTACTCAGCCGTTCCAGCTCTGAAGAATTTTACCCCGATGATGATGTTATCTCAGTTTGGACTTGGAGACTACTGGAAACAATGTGTAACAAAAAGCCTGTGTTACAAACTAGGGATGTAAAGTCCAAAAAACATGGTTCTTTATCAGGCAGGGATAAAATATGCTATCGAGTTGCATTTTGGGAAAGTTGGGATTTATGCTTGAACCATCCTAGAGGCTAGAATTCACTACATCTCAGCCTCTGCTTTTTTGAAAGGATAAATATAATCATTGTTTCAATGGCATTTCAATGATGTGAAGCAGGTCCTACATGTTGAAATATGTACTGCTGCTGAAACAATGGTAACATGTAACCTGCATACATAGGACAAGTCATTGCAGCTGTTATAATATAATATTATTATGTAGAAATGCACCCTTGTTTAAACCCTGTTTGGTCAAAATGTATTGTACTGTCAGAATAAGTCCGAGCTACTGTAGCATTAGCTGGCTGCTCCTGGCTGCATCACTATAGGCTAATGTTAGTAAACAAATCGCTCACATTTGCTTTTTTGTAATGTAGAAAGTGATACAACTTTGCACTAGATTAGCAACCGCTTGACATAAGCCGGCGAGCTAATGTGACTTTCTCTGTGTTAGTCCAGCTTTAGTAATGCTCACTATGTTCTTGCTCGACATCATCTGAACCTGTTTGGTCTGATGGTTAATTTAATTGAAAAACTTACATATGATCCCTTTAAATCTTATGTTTTAATAAATGAACATAAATAAAAATGCAAAATAGACTTATTCATTTCCACATGTAGACTAAACCTATTACTGAGGGTGACACGTTCAGTCACATCGGACTTGTGTGTCAGCAACCTTTTGGCTGCCTGGATTTAACATGACTGATCCAAAGTATCATATCCATTAAAGAGCAGGTGTTTCCCTTCCCAGCACTTCCACTGTGTCACAGTGAAAAGCCTTCCCAGCTGTTTGGTACATTTAGTCTCTTCCACACTATAAATCCCCTCTGTCACACCATGCAGGTGGTTAAGGCTAGAGAAATTGGTTATGCACATGCTATATTCAGCTGTTGATTATCAAGAGAAGATCTTACCTGCATACCTACTTGGTGAAAAGCAGAGGTTACATAATCTGGAGTTAGGCAGTCTTTCGTGAGACCTTAAGAGTCAGAGAAACAAGGTTAACCAGTCTCTGGAGCAGCAATACTTATTTTAGAGTGCAGAATATATTAGCAGGGTATATACAGGAATCTTGAAGTAAAATTCAATACCTTTTTAAGACCTTTTCAAGGCTTTTTCAACATATTTCAAGACTGCCGCGCCACTTTGATCTGTAACCAATTAAATCAGCCAGACACCTTTAAAAGGGATATTTTTGAGTTTTTAAAAGGAATGTAAATATTTATAACATATTTATAGCCTATATGTCATCAGGTTGTAACGCCATCAAAAAATTGAGGCATTCACCAACTTTCTCAGTTGCCTGTAACAGCCTGTTTAGGCCTATTGTTTTCTATGTGAAGGACTGGTCAGATTTCCTGCCAAAAGCAACATAAACTTACATAAACTATGACGTGTATGTACGCAGTATTACAGCAAATCATGTGAAACACAGTGTAATTTTGTGTTTTAGTTGGTTTAAACTAGAGAATGTGAGCTTGCAATGATATGTGTGATAACTTTCATCGACCAATTGATCAATGAATCTGATGAAAATATATTGGAGGAACATCTTTAAGATACTGTCAGTAAGCGAGCAGGCAGGCATTAAATAAGGCATAGCATAGGGATGAACATATTTAACAGTAATTTGGTAACACAGAAACATAAAAAGTACAAAAACCACACATGGCTCACAACTGAAAGATAAGTGGAAACTCACCATCCTGTGTGTATTTTGTGCTTCAGTACTAAAACAAGTCTTCTAAATAAGCACAATTACATTACTTCCTGATGGGAGCATACCCATTAATAGTGAGAGTAAGTGATTCTGCAGAAGGACTGTTGATATTTCAACTCAACTTCCAAACAAATATACCCCTCCCCTCAGAATCTCTGCCCCGCCTAATTTCAACTCCTGGAGTTTTCTCCAGCATTGAAACGCATTCGCCCTTGCCTGGTCATATTATTTTCTTCCCTGTTTATACTCTTCAGATCTTTTCCTCTATGGCTAAATCTGAGGCATCTCTCTTCCAGCATATTAGATCTCACCGTTGTGTATACAAGGTGCAGACGTATGAGAGGCCCACGCTGTGGGTGGGCACAGACAAAATTTATCAGTACCGCACAAGCGCGCGTAGGGGTAAACCCAATAGCGATGGCCTTAGAGGGCTGAGCCTGTACTCATATAATCTGGAGTCACAATACGTAACTATCATACCATCAACATTTCAATTCACACATTAAACTCAAACAACCACTCACAACATTAAAGGTCAGCGGTAAGGGCCCTCCTAAACAGAGCAGCACACATTATCAGTGTGGTGGAGGATAGAAAAACTGTGATAGGGACCACCAGAAGCATCCCAGTTGGACTCTTTCATGTGGTTGGGATGGCAGAACATCCAGCAAGAGTCTTCAAGTGGTGTTTGGCGTCATCATGACATCACATGTGACAGGTGGGGGTAACATTGATGAAATGACAAGCTCTGGACAAGAGAATGAACACAGGGAAACACCAGGCCAAAACTGCTCACAGAACTGACCTGGAAAGGTTCAGAGGTCATTGACCATGAGTCAATGGAGAGCTGGAGAAAGATGATGGCATTCACATCCAATGCCAAAAGTCTATCCATGAACAGAGATAGGTAAGTAATCTCCAGATACCAGCAAAATAAATTCCTCTTAAACCCCTCAAATATCCTATTGCTCCAACTCATGGGTGCTAGATTAAAGGTACTTCAATTGTAGTGAAGAAGCCAAAGTTTCCAAAGGACCTAAATCTGTCAGGCTGGAGGTGTCAAATACTTCCTTGAAAGCTGGCTCTGAAAAATCTGTAAGGATAACAGGAGATTAACCAGTTTCTACACATCTTGGTAGCGAGACACAATGGCTAAGTGCAAGTTTCTTCTGCTGAGACAGTGCAGAGGAGGTTGAGCTGTCAGCCTCCGCCTGTGCCAAGCTCTGCATGGCTCCTCAGAGGCCTGCTGAAGAAACAGCAGCCAAGCATTCCTGGCTTGCATGATAATGGCTGATGAAACGCTCGGCCTTTATGCTGCTTAGGGACAGTGGTAAAAATACTTCCCACCCCATCATCGCTCCCTCCTCAGTGCATGTTGCAATAAAACTTGCTCTTGACTGAAAGTGGAGCTCTCTCTGAAGTGAGCTGTTATGGGCCCATCACATGGTTCAGGAATCAGGGAGCAAGGTTGCACAAACAACTAGGTCAGTTGATGGAGCTAAATTTACTGTACAAATTGTTTGTTTCTATTTACAACCTGTGTAAAGCCACATTGTCTGAGTGAGCAAATACACATGTTCACCACTGCGTGCAATCCAAACACGATTAGTCATACTGACAGTAAAAGAGGCCAATGCATTTTGGAGGCTTTAAAAAATGTTAAATCTAGTTTTTCCTGCTCATTTGCAGGTAACCCCTTAAAAAATTATTTGTGTTTTCAGTTGCTTCCAAGCTGATGTTAAATTAAGTGGAAATTGTTCATTTGTCTATACAACATAAAAAAGATATAAATTCAGGTATGATTCAGGCATAAACGATAAACCAGGGCTTGCAAAAGGTTCCTAGGTACGTATTGAATATACAATTGGTGTCAAGGGGTGAAGAACACTGACTTGTAGAGAGGTGGTGATCTAAAATGAAAACCATCTTGATGCTTGGTCTTCCTTGAGTTAAAAATGACCTGAATCCACTTCATTTTTTGTGTGAGGAAAAATACATTTTTCAACATAAGATTACCGTTTTGGACACATGTATGGAAACAGTGTCTAAGCCTAAAGCTTCTGAGTGGGCATTACGCACGATATCAGTTGACTGACAGCTGTGGGCCGTGCACCTATAAAATGTGCTGCCAGCTACTGTGGTGTGCTAAAGACTGGAGAATGTCTGGAAGTGTTAAAATGCATTATTTCCCTTTTTTCAACTAGTTAACATAATTATCTACCAGTTTACCAGTACGCAGTTTATAGTGTCTTTCCTGTTAGAGCATTCTATATCTGGGAGAACCCAAGGTGCTTTTCCACTCTGTGTAAGGGGATGCTAGCTAGCCAAGTTAGCTAACATTTATGATAGCTGTAGACATGTTATGAAGGCACTTTAAAACAAAGCTGTATACCTTATGAAAGGACCAGGGATTAGCTAACCCAAATAAGACCAAAGTTCCTTTTATAAATTTAAATTTAAATTCATAAGCAATAAACTCAGGAGTTTTGTTGCTACAGCCTTACTTGGTCTGGTATATGGCCAGTTGTTTTTGGTGGCTAATGTTAGCTAACACCAGACATTGCTGTCTAACTGACATTACAGAGTGGTGGAAAGGAAGTCATGTCCATTCTTCATCTATGTTTACAATCTATTTATAATTTTGTCATCCTGATTGTACATACAGTAATTTTATAATGTCGGGCTATTCTAGGGTGACCAGATGTCCCCCTTTTCCGGGACAGTCCCCGGTTTTGGTGGCCTGTCCCTCTCTGGAGCTGTCCCCGGAAATGTCCCCGTTTTAACCGGGTGTTAATCATAGACTGTGGTGTAAGGTGTTAACAGACCTGAAATCAGATTTTACATGGCCAGGAACTGATTGTCGTCCGCAGGAGCACGCGTAGCATGTAACGTTATCGCCCAGTTTCTTTACAGCTACTTTTATATGGATCAAACAGACAACATATAAACATCACTTTATGTCACAAAGATATGTCTTTGTGAAACTTTAACGGTTCTTTTAACAGAATAATCACAATTGTGGCCAAACAAGTGTTTGCATTTTATAGCGCAACCATGTCTGACCTTTACGTGATTATAGGCAATAACAGAAACCTGTTTTTGCCGATGGAATATGTGTTTTGTAGGCCTATGTCTAATTTCCTTGTTCACATTTAGAAAATGGAATATAGCTTATAATTAACATGACTTAATGCTGAGTTATATTTAGATCCATTATCCTTATGACTCTACATTATTTAACTTGCTGTGTACCAACCAATCCAGTCCTTTTTACCTGTTAAAATACCTTTTAAATGGCCAAAACAACACATGAAATGCAGTATTCCCCTTGCCAGAGAGTGACTGCCGCCTCTACATATTGACTGAAAGCTAATTTCTGCCTCAAAATGACTTTCAGAAGAGTTATGTTTGACAGATTATGAAACTGAAATTTCCCCGTTTTTATTTATAACATTATATTTTTTAATGGCATACTGACCACCAAACCAAAAATGTCCCCGGTTTTAGTCTAGGCAGCTTATAGCCCTGGTGGCCACTTTTTTTGCAAAAGTTACACTTACACTACATGTTGTAAGTGCCACTGGGAGGGTCCTGCATACTCAGTGTTGTGTTTGTCCTGCATTGTCTACGTACAGGGTACCAGCGGGTCTTAAAAGTATTTAAAAAGTCTTAAATTTCATTTAAGAAAGGTCTTAAATTTCTTCTTGTCCTTTCGTAGGATTCAATTAATGCCGTAACGTCATAAATTAATACTTTGTGTGTGTGAGACTTCATAATATACTCCGTTTGGTGTGACTCTGATGTTATACGGCAGTACAGGTAACGTTACTGTTTACGTCAGTGTTTAGCTTTACGCTCTGAACTGTGAAGTGTTTGCGGTGCATGAGCTCTGGCATCCAGCTCTGCGCGAATCAGTCAGTTGTTAGAAAAGAAAACGTCTCTGACGTGCTACTAACGTTAGCTCAACGACTCAGAATGGGCAAGTGTCTGAAATTCAGGAAGCCAGAGATACGAACAAGTTGGGGGACGAGACTGAGGGCAGTGGCGCTAACTACACAAATATTGTATTCATTTCATAGGTGTCATTTACCCTGTGGATACTGGGAACATGTCGCCATCACTTCTTTAAAAAGCATTTGTTAAATATGTTCTGAAAAATGGCTTGCAACAAGAAATGTTAAAAAAACAAATGAAAATACTTTGAGAAAGGTTTATTTGCACAATAACAAAACATGCAATGCAATTTAAAGATAAGACAC